CAACCAATGACGGCATCGACTAACGCCAAAATCGACCAATGGCGCACTTTGGCGTCAAAAAGTTGGCTCTACCAACGGCAAAAAGTTTGTCTAAAGGCTTTCGTCCCGAACATGTCCATGCAGCCGGAGCGCAGCCTGAGTGGGCCCAGCCACTCCAAGACTCCACGTAAAGCCAGTGTTTACAAGCCATTTCGGTCGATCTCACGTGTACCTGCGATAATTTTTGTATTATTCCAGTGTTTTTAGTGCTTGTAACCGCTAAATAAACCACCATGGGCCCCAAGAAAGCTTCTAGTGCCAAGCCTGTGGTAAAAAAGGTGAGAATTACAATGGAAATGAAGAAAGAGATCATTGAAAAATATGCAAGTGGAGTGCATATGTCCAAGTTGGAAAGGCTATATAACAAACCCCATTCAACCATCACTACTATCTTGGTGAACAGAAAGGCAATCAAGTAAGCTGTTGTTGCAAAAGGTGCAAGTATGTTTTCAAAACGGAGACAGCAAATAATTGAAGAGGTGGAGAGACTGTTGTTGGTGTGGATAAACGAAAAACAATTATCAGGAAATAGCGTTTCTCAGTCAATAATATGTGAAAACGCAAGGCAGTTGCATTATGATCTCATTAAGAAAATGCCTGCAAATAGTGATGATATTGATGAATTTAAGGCCAGCAAAGGCTGGTTTGAGAGATTTAAGAATCGTAGTGTATACCCAGTGTGATAAGGCGATGGTGAGGCTGCCAGTTCACACAAAAAAGCGGCTGAAAAATGTGTGCAGGACTTTAAGGAGTACACAGAGACTGAAAACTTAAAAAACCCCAACAAGTGTTTAATTGTGACAAAACAGGCCTGTTTTGGAAGAAAATGCCAAACAGGACCTACATTACTCAGGAGGAAAAAGCATTCCCAGAACACAAGCCTATGAAAGACAGGCTCACACTTATGTTATGCAGTAATGCTTATGGTGATTGCAAAGTATCACTCTGTATCGTGTATCACTCTGAAACTCCCAGTGTTCAGGAAAAACAATATCATCAAGGTTAATTTGTGTGTGATGTGGAAATCAAATAGGAATGCATGGGTCACTAGGGAAATTTTCCTGGAGTGGTTTTATGGTGTGTTTGGCCCCACAGTGAAAAATTACCTCCTGGAAAAGAAATTGTCACTCAAGTGCCTCCTGGTAATGGACAATGCTCCTGCTCATCCTCACGACTTGGAACAGCAAATTGTGGGGGAGTTTAGCTTCATAAAAGTTAAGTTTTTGCCTCCTAATACAACTCCTTTCCTCCAGCCCATGGACCAGCATGTGATTTCAAACTTCAAAAAACTCTACACAAAAGCAGTGTTTCAAAAGTGCTTTGAAGTGACCTTAGACACTCAATTGACCCTAAGAGAGTTTTGGAAAGATCGCTTCAATATCCTCAGTTGCATAAACCTTACAGGTAAGGCTTGGGAGGGAGTGACTTGCAGGACTTTGAACTCTGCTTGGAGGAAACTGTGGCCACAATGTGTACAAGAGAGGGATTTTGAAGGGCTTGGGGCTAACCCTCAGGAGCCTATGCCAGTTGTTGAATCAACTGTGTCATTGGGGAAGTCCATGGGGTTGGAGGTTTGTGGCGAGGATGTGGAAGAGTTGGTGCAGAACGACAATGAAGAACTAACCACTGCAGAGCTGCAAGAGCTTGAGGTGCAACAGTAACAGATCACAGCTCAGGAATGTGCTTCAGAGCAGGAGGAAGAGAGACGGAGGAAGTTGCCTTCATCAAGGATTAAGGAAATGTGTACAATGTTTACAAAGGTGCAAGTATTTATGGATGAATTTTATCCTGTCACAGCTGTTGCAAGCCATATTGGCAACATGTACAAAGACACTCTTGTGTCCCATTTTAGGGAAATCCAAAGGGCACATGAGAAACAGAGCTCTCTGGACAGATATTTTGTCTGACAGGGGTCCAGTGATTCTCAAGCTGGTCCTAGTGGCAATAAAAAACCAATAAGGGAAGTAACCCCACCAAAGGACTTGGTACCTTTAGTCTTTATGGAAGGGGATTCCCCTTCCAAAAAATAGAACACCTGAATCTCCCCTGCTGCTGGCACATCATTCATCAACAACTCCACAATAAAGGTAAGTGGCATTTAATTATTGTTTATTTTGCATGTACCATTCGTTTCTGCATAGGGAAATGTATATTTCATGTAAAAGAAAATTATTTTGTTTAATACTTTTGGGTGTCTGGAATGGATTAATTTTATCTCCATTATTTCTTATGGTGAAATTTAATTTCAACAGCTAATTCGCCTAAAAGCTAGCTCTCTGGAATGGATTAAAGCCGTTGGTCAAGGGTCCACTGTATATCAATAACAACACTGCGACTAGCCGAGGGCTCAAACTCGTGTTTTTTAGCCTGCCTCATGGCGAGCGAAAATCACATGACACTCTAACCCACAGGACCACCCAGTTCTACAAAGATCATGCACCCAACAGACCTAGGTGTTGTACCATGATCCAAGGACATACGATGGTGTTGTTATTGATTAAATACCACTCGTTCGTGGTTACAATATGATATACATATATGGCTTGTGGAGGTTAGTACACCAAACGGGGAGTAGAATGAAGTTAGGTCTGAGGCACCCACACCACTGTATGTCCTCGGATCAGAAGTACAACACCTAGCTCTGCAGGGTGCGTGAACCTTGTAGGATTGGGTGGTCCTGTGGATTAGAGCATTGTGTGATTTTTGCTCACCATGAGGTGGGCCAAAACAACATACCATCACTGTTCTATCATAGAATCACTGTCCCCTCATCTCATATCATTACTGTTCCATCATACCATCAGTCAATACATGCCATCACTGACCCATAATGAAGTCACTGTTCCCTAATAACATCACTATCCCCTCATACCATCACTCCCCATATGCCATCAGTACCCCCTCATACTGTCACTGTCACCTCATTCCATCACTGTCCTCTTGTACCATCACTGTCCTTATATACTATCACTCCCTTCATGCCATCAGTCCCCCCATATTATCACTGTCCTCTTACCCTCACCCCTTTCATGCCTTTGTTGTCCCCTCATACCAGCACCATGGGCACAATAAAAGAATATTATTATCAATATCCATGGTTTTAGACTATTCTATATCTTACCAGAAGATATCATAAATACTTCCAAGACAAGTGAAGAAGTCTTCAAGAAGAAACTGCACAAGTACATCCACCAAGTGCCAGATCAACCATGCTGTGATGAATATGTGGGCCAGCAGGCTGCCGGCAGCAACAGCCTGGTTAACCAGAGAACTACCTGACCCAGGGCCCGGCTCCAGAAGCACAAAAAACTCTCGAAACTTAAAGGTACATCACTGTCCCCCCCTCAGTGTTACTGTCACCTCGTACCATCACCATCTCACATTTCAGTTTATCACTGTCCCTCATATTTCAGTCTACCATCATCCCCTCAGTGTCACTATCCCCTCAAAGTGTCACTGTCCCCTCATACCATCACTGTCTCCTTATCCCACAGCTCAATTGCTAGCACCCTCAATTCACACGTTGAGGTCTACGGTTTGATCCCCGATACAGGTGGAAGCATTAGGACACGTTTCCTTAAGACACCTGCTACTCCTGTTCACTTAGCAGTAAAATAGGTACCTGGGTGTGGGTTGCATCCTGAAGGAAAAATTGACCTAATTTGCCCAAAATGCTCTACATAACAAGGGACTTTCTATATAGTAGTAGTATGTCTTTGATATCAGATAGGCCTGTATACACTGCACATGTACTTGTAGAAATAGAGATTATTATTATTATTATTGTCAGTGTCCCCTCATACAAACACCATCCCCTCATAACATCACTGTCCCCTCATAACATCACTGTCACCTCATACCATCATTACCCCCTCATAACATCACATCACTGTCCCCTAATACAATCACTACTCCCTAAGATAAGACTTTGTTTGGATTTTTAACCCCAGAGGGTTAGCCAGCCAGGATAACCCAAGAAAGACAGTGCATCACTGAGGGACTGTCTGTCTTATTTCCACTGGGGTCCTCAATCTTGTCTCCCAGGATGCGACCCACACCAGTCAACTAGCTACCAGGTAGATGCTTGCTAGGTGAACGGGAGAACAGGTGTGAGGAAACACGCCCAATGTTTCCACCCTTGCCAGGGATTAAACCACGGAGCCTCAGCGTGTGAAGTGAAAGTTTTGCCTACCAAGCCACGGACCTGGTGTCACTGTCCCCTCATAACATCACTCCCCTTATACCATTACTGTCCCTCATACCATCACTGTCCCCTCATAGTGTCACTGTCCCCTGATACCATCACTGTCCCCTGATACCATCACTGTCCCCTGATACCATCACTGTCCCCTGATACCATCACTGTCCCCTCATATCATTACTGTCCCCTCATTTCCACTGCTCTCGCCTTATAGTGTCACTGTCGCCTCATAGTCACTATCCCCTGTAAATGAACTTATTTAATTTAACGGGGGAGCGCCAAACCAGTAGCGGCCACGGAGAAACTTGGGAATGGGAAGTAATCAGTTTTGGTCCAAGGAAATGTAGGGCAGCTCTAATTCCCTGGATCAAGAGTGTCCCCTCACCGTCATCAAGGCACCTTGAAGGTGTTATTAAAATGTTCAAATTTATCCAGCGGCTCCGACTAGACGCGGCTTTAGTTATGACGATATTGAACAATGATGAGTAGGTCAAGGACATATTTAATCATTGTTAGCGGGGAAGGATCGATATATTGGCGCTCTCTTCCCCCCACGCAGCCTCCACCGTCATCTCAGCAAAGATCAGGATGCTGCTGCTGTCAGACTTTCAACCAGACAACAATAATTTCACCCACAGGCAGGTCCAACAACACCGCCTCACTTCCACTCACAGAATGGTCATTTGCGACAAAATGGGGTACTAAATGGTCTGGGTGAAGGCTGGGAAGCAGGCGTTTGCCTCTTCTCCCAAAGACCGACCTGTCAGAGCTGGCGGAACTGGGAGGATCTTGCTTGAATCTACCAGACATCACCTCACACAATTTGGTCTCAGCTGCACTTGCGTCCATCTATTGATGCCACACGTCACTCTGTAACTCTATTATCCCTTAATTTACTCTTCAAACACTACCAATTCCATTTTGATGAGGACATTTCAATAAGTTACCTTTATTTGTGTCTCTTTATAATTAGAAAATCAAATGATGCAAATATATGACAGTTTGGGAAAATATAGATTATGTTGTTTGGTTTGCTGTGTGTCGCTGCGTCGCCATGACAACGACGATGCAGCATCAACAACCACAACATCAGCTGATAACTTAAAACTCCTCTGACAGGTTTCCCCATCTTTAATATCGTAAACAGACAGTTTCATGCTATTACTTGACATGTGTAGTGTATTCATTATTGTTAGTATATAATTCAATTTAAACGTTCCCCGACAGTAGTAGCAAACACTAGGAAAGAAAATCCAAAGATTACCCACTAATAATTTTACTAAATAAGTTTATTTAGGTACAGGCCCACATAAGTACAGTTGTCATACATAGTAACACATGTGTAAATTACCTAAACAAAGAATCTTATATCTACAAAGTATAGTACAGTATACAACTGACATAGGATTCATTAACGTGATTAAACTACTGACATCAATGATATACTATTATTATTATTATTATAATAAAAAAAGAAGCGCTAAGCCACAAGGACTATACAGCAATGATATACTACTATATAGAAAGCCCCTTGTTAATTTTGTCCCCAGGCACCTAAAGTCAGTCGAGCTGTGGTTCGTACGTCGGTTTACGTGCGACCAGCAGTAATAGCCTGGTTGATCAGGCCCTGATCCACGAGGCCTGGTCACGAACCGGGCTACGGGGGCGCTGATCCCCCGAAACCCCCTCCAGGGTGCGACCCACACCAATCGACTAATACCCAGGTACCTAATTTACCGCTAGGTGAACAGGGACAGCAGTTGTCTTAAGCCTTAAGGAAACACGTCCTAATGTTTTCACCCGTACCGGGGATCGAACCCCGGACCTCAACGTGTGAGCCGAGTGAGCTAGCAATCGAGCTACGGGACACCGTAAACAGTATATACATATATTGTTTTTTCAAAGATTTTAAAGAATAATGCCAAGTTAGAAATTGGTCTATAACTGTTTCAGTTGGGTCTCTACCTTTGTGGACAGGGGTAACACGAACTAACTTAAATATATTAGGGAAAGTTTTGGTTTCAATGACAGGCGATAACACATGGGTAGCTTTCTTATATATGAATGACGATACACTTTCTTTATTACCTGCTTTGTCTTTAGTGCATTTATTATCGAAGTTACCTCCAGAATTTGTTGGTGATGGGTAGAGGGAGCCTTGATAACTACCGTTGAGGTTATCACTAACTACTTTGACTTCAAGAATGAGTTAATTTTTTTTACAATGGTATTACATGGCACCTTATGTAAAATTTAATCTAGGCATACTCAAAAAGTTCAATGTTGTTTTCCTGTTTGTCTACTGTAAATAACTCTATGCGTTTGTAATTTGTATAGTCAACAAAGCATCTTTGGGTGTATCTGTACCATCTAAAATATACTTTAAGTGTAATTTTTCAGCCTGATTTTATTACGTAACCTATCTCCCCCCTGCTGTAGCTGAATGTTGATGAAGGACTCTTGATCCAAGGAATTGGAGCAATAATTCCCTTCCTCAGATCAACTGATTGCTCCCATCCCTCCCGTTCCCCAAGCTTTGACACGAGTTCAGTGTTCCATATAAATTAATAATAATAATAATAATAATAATAATAATAATAATAATAATAATAATAATAATAATAAATGCCCCAGCATTACTTTTGAAAATAGTGTTTTACTGCTGTATTTTGCTTAGTTAACACAATACTGGGACCCAACTTCTGCACAATATAACTATCAAGCTAACTTTATACTTGTACATTAAAATTTAACAAATTTCAGAGTGAAAACTATCTGCAGTTATTCACAACAATGGTAAAAGGTAAGTGGCTATGCTCAATCACGTTACCATATATTGATTACCATAGTTACACTACTTCCACTGCTACTTGTAATACTACACATGTTTCTAATACGTGCAATATGTTTTAAATTTGTACATAATTACTTCAACATTAGGTGGCATTTATTTCAATTTTCAAAAACCCTAGTCATGTGCAGACCATTTCAGGAAGACTAAAACTACTTAATATTGAATACTTGTACAGTTGAAGTTAGATTATTGGAATGCTATGTTTAATATAATTAAATTATCAGAAGACTGTAGATAAGATTATTAAAGATGATTAAGTAAAAAAACTTTATATACATTAAAACACCAATATTAAAGTAGCTAGTTCACTCAATAGTTTGTGTGTATGTGTACTCAATTGTACTCACCTATTTGTGGTTGCAGGAGTCGATTCACAGCTCCTGGCCCCGCCTCTTCGCTGGTCGCTACTAGGTCCTCTCTCTCCCTGCTCCACGAGCTTTATCATACCTCGTCTTAAAACTATGTTTGGTTCCTGCCTCCACTACATCACATGCCAGACTATTCCACTTCCTGACAACTCTGTGAATGAAGAAATGCTTACTAACATCCCTTTTACTCATCTGAATCTTCAACTTCCAATTGTGACCCCTTGCTTCTGTGTCCCCTCTCTGGAACATCCTGTCTCTGTCCACCTTATCTATTTCTCTCAGTATTTTGTATGTCGTTATCATGTCTCCCCTAACCCTCCTGTCCTCCAGTGTCGTCAGGCCGATTTTCCTTAACCTTTCTTCGTAGGACATTCCCCTTAGCTCTGTAACTAGCCTTGTTGCAAACCTTTGCGCTTTCTCTAACTTCTTGACGTGCTTGACTAGGTGTGAGTTCCAAACTGGTGGTGCATACTCCAGTATGAGCCTGACGTACACGGTGTAGAGTCTTGAACGATTCCTTACTGAGGTATCGGAACGCTATTCTCAGGTTGGCCAGGCGCCCATATGCTGCAGCAGTTATCTGGTTGATATGTGCTTCCGGAGACGTGCTCGGTATTATACTCACCCCAAGATCTTTTTCCTTGAGTGAGGTTTGCAGTCTTTGGCCACCTAGTATATACTCTGTCTGCGGTCTTCTTTGCCCTTCCCCAATCTTCATGACTTTGCATTTGGAGGGGCTAAATTTGAGGAGCCAGTTGCTGGACAACGCGTCCAGCCTGTCCAGGTCTCTCTAGTCCTTCCTGATCCTCGTCTGATTTAATTTTTCTCATTACTTCTCATCATCTGCGAACAAGGTGTGTGTACACACACAGTCTGAATGCGTATATAATAGCATGAGACAGCTTAAAATGGTGTTCATATACATGTTTTCCTAATCATTTTTCCTCTCTGCCGCCCACAGTCACGCCAGAACTCGTACGTAAACGTGCGGAACATAATGAGGGCGAACTTTCGACGCTTGAAGAGCTCTCTCTCCACCAGCAAGATATCGAGAAAATTGAATACCTTCATCGTTGGTGTCCGCGTCTTCGCATTCTCTACTTGCAAGGCAACCTTATTAGCAAGATTGGCGAGTACATATTATCTCTTGCTTTTACGTACCCACAGGTCAGTAGAAGAGCGTTGAGCTCACACCCAGTCTGAGTAGAGACTTACGGGCAAGTCTCCTTACGCCTATTATCCCTGTTCGCTTAGCAGTAAATATAGTTGGGTATTAGTCTATTGTTGTTTATTGCATCCCAGGAAAAAGGATCGAAGTACCCCGTACAAAAATAAGCCGAGGTGCTTGTATTTCTTGGCTTAAACCTTCTCAGTTTGATAATCAAAAAATATCATCATCCGTAATGTTGATGCAATGCTAAAGTTACCCAAGTGTTGCACAAGAGTCTAATTCATCATGCTGTTAATTTGTTCCTTATTAATATCTGAGTGGTTGAAGAGTTAGTAGCTATTTTAAACTGACTGCCTCACATTTTCAGTGTTACGTTTGAAACTACGTTGCTAACAGGCAGAACAATATACTGGGCTGTAGTGTTAACGGTGTTCCTGTTGAGAATTCGTGCTATATGCTTTCTGCAGTCGACGATGAAGTGAAATGGAAAGTGCAGTACGTAGTTTGAAAGCTTTTGTAATGAATTGACAGTCTTCTTCCATCAACAGTGGGCTGCATATTCCATATGCACTTATAAAGCATCCTATCACGACGCCCCTTTTTAGTTCTGTTATCGTGATAGGAGTAAAAATGAAGAAAGTCGTTCTTGTGAGTAGGTAATATGTGAATAAAAGTTTATCTTTGCGTGTGTGGAATAACACATCTAGGAATGGAAGTTGGTTGCCGTTTCTTCAAGTGTGAATTTTATGGTAGACTCCTAGCTGCTGATGGTGTCGAGGATGTTCTGCATGTCGAGGCTCTTTGGAAAAATGACCAAAATAGCATCAGGGAAAGCTGGCGGTATGCGATTGACTTAGAGATTCTCCATGTGTAAATTGGCCAGGATTGAGCTTATGGGTGAGGTGAGTCCATAACAAGACCAAACTTACATCCCTCGAAATCGAAGCAATTGTAACGTACACTTCACTTTAATATGTTACTCTACTGCTACAGGTTCTCAAACCTGATCCATCTTACCTCAGCTGTGCTACTACTATTACCTCTTCCCTCTCACAGCTTGTCAGCTGACTACCCCCACCATAAATACTAGTTTCTTAATCGTCTTTGTATTAGGAGTGGAAGACACACTTACCGCGAAACGTTTCCTCAATAAATGTCATGAACTGTGCACATGTGTCTTTATCTGCATATTGTTGGTTACAAAAATGCCTAACCAGTTATTCTAGCCTAGCTGACCCACCCCAACCACCTATTCTAAGCTCGCCTAATTGCTCCATACCTAACGTAATCTTATATGTGAGTGACTTTTAGTGATCTCTGGTGACTTTTTCGACAGAGAATGTGGGTCGTCTTCGAGAGTTAGAATACCTCAACCTGGCCTTGAATAACGTAGAGCGGGTGGAGGGTCTTGAACAATGCGAGGCCCTCCAAAAACTCGACCTTACAGCAAACTTCATCTATGACCTGACTTCAGTATTAAGCCTAGAGGACCTACCCAATCTCAAGGAGTTGTGAGTAGGTGGTTAACACTTTACTGGAAATAAGTTGTGTAGTAATTTTATCTTTTGAGTTAGTATGTTGATATGAGAAATATGTGAAGGAATATTTTTTGGTCATTCTCTAGAAAATGCATGAATAGTTTCTTAACATACTCTAGGATATGTGCATGGAGGTTTGTTTCTGTATATATTCCGGGGTATAAATGGAAGTATTTGTGGACGTACTCAAGGAAATGTTAAAGCTAGTTTAACCAGCATTATCAGTGTGATATTTAGCAAGTACCTGACAGATAACCCGTGTAACGGTTACCTGGTAAAAGTGTTGCAAAGAGTACACTGTATTGCAGGTACCTGACTGGTAACCCGTGTACCAGTTACCGGGGATACCGGGAGTGGGTGTTGAACAACTTGCCTGCACTTGAGGAGCTCGATGGCACAACTATCACTAGATCAGAGAGACTGATGGCTCTCCAAAGCCTTACATCCTCTCATTCCACCGTCCAGGTCGACCAGCAGCTAGCTCTCGGTGAGGCGTTGGTGGAACTTGCGAGCTTAGTTTATAAAGCAACTATTCTTTGGCCAAATAAAGCAATTGTAAATGTATCGTAGAAATAACTCAACGGAAATCAGTTTATATATCACGAAGTTATTATACTTCATTCGTGTTAGGTAAGGCTAACTAAATTTAGTTTGATTGAAGATAGGTTAAGGAGTAAGCTGTTAAGCTGTTATATTAATTTTAACTATGTTAAGTATGGGTGCTAAATTACACTGGGGCAAAATTATACATTTGTATAATTTGTTAATTCACATAATATATCGAGCAATGTAAAAGATATTTTTTTCAAAAAAATGTATTTTACGAAAACTTCTGCTTGTTTTCCAGATAAAGCCTTAAAAACACATTTTCACCTAATTGTATGAGTAGGGGGATCGAGCTTCAGTTTTTCGGCACTACTATTGTAAATCGATTCATTGGTGGGGCTTACTCTTTTTCTGGGGAGGGAGGGGGGAGACCTATTCATATCTGCTTTTTAATCCATGTACTAAGTGGCATCCATTACATACCTTCTTGATTCATTCCATTTCTTCACTATCCTCACACTGGAGGAATTCTTCGTTATCTTGGCTCATTTGAATGTTTGGTTTCCAGTTGTGTCACTTCGAGCTGTTTCTCCCCTCTCAAATAGTCTGTCCCTATCAACCGTGTTTCTATGTACTTTATATGTTGTAATCATGTCTTCTCTGGTTGTGTTCCAGTAATTTAAGAACCTTCTTGCCCTATTATGTACTTCCTTGATTCTTTGTGGAAACCTTAAATCGTCTGTTGATAATTTTTATGCATTTCTTATAGTTTTCCATGAGCACTCTCCTCATGATCTTGTATTTTTAAACTGTTGTTGCTCTGATAGAACTTGGACTTGGTCTCTTTGAACTCGTTTTTTTTTTTTTTCTATCTGTTTGATCTTGTCTGTCTCCGTGATTCCTGGCCCTATTTATACCTAGAAGCCAAATGCCAATACCAGCGATCACTTTTTCCATGGGGTGCCATGCTTTGTTTTCTTTGTATTATATTATTTGCGGGGAAATATCAGCCTTAATATTATGAATTAATATTACAATTTGCCTGCAGACACACGGGCAAGGGAGAGAGAGGAATACGAACGATGCGGCTAACGACAGGAAAGACGACGATGAAGACGACGAAGGGTAAGTTAGCTAATGTTTGTTTCCTTCACACGGAATGTTGAATGAAAAAAGATAATTCTCAGAAAATCACAGTTACGATTCTCACGTATCAAAAAGGTCATTTCGGTAAGATCTCACATTTGTTTTCCTTAGCTGAGCGTAAATTATACGTTAAAATAATGCATAACTAATTCCAGAAACTGTGTTATTAGTTTATCAGCAACATTAATATATATTCATGAGTGAGCTCTAAACCCGTAAAGGGTCATACAGAGTCTGGGCAATACAAAGGAGAAAGTACCTTCAATTCCGTGGATCAATAACTGTTCACAAAGATCACGGTACCCGTTCGAAGGTTCGTAAGTCAGGGTAGATATGATTATCAATTTTATGCTGCTCCGATTTTTAATTAATCGGATATATGAAGTGTGGAATCACTCAAAGCACATTTCACATACCAATTCAGATGCAGTTTGCAAAAGAAATGTAAAGTGATAATAAAGTATTCTTTCTGTATGTTAGGTTAGGTTTGTCAGGAAACAGGACAAGTGTTTCCTGACGCGGGTCTTAGATGATGACACGCCATTGAAGCTTTAGGTCATCTGACCGAGGCCTTCCGCTGGCTTACCGCTCCACCCTATTAAAAATTATGGTCATAGTTATAACCATTTACTTTTTCTGTATGTATTAAGCGATTGTTTAACCAGATTATTATTTCGGGTCGAAAATTGTATACCTCATTAACCAACTTAGCCTTAAAAAAATAAAGTTAATTTTGGATGTCTATGATTCCAGATACAAAAGAGTAAGCATTTAGAAAAAAAAAAAACCAGTGTGGCCCACAGTCCCGTCGCTTCGTATTCTGCTACAGACTATTGCTCTTCAGTTCGTGGGCTCAAGCATCAGCTGTATTTATCACTCAGATATATAAAACTCATTTGCATCCCTTGGTAGCTGTATTACAGGTGACTAAGACATTTCCAACACTGGTATCTTTATTGCCGCAATAGAAATACCCAAGCGATGCATATGTTTCATATTTGTCAACCTGTCTGCATTATATGCGCTCAGTAATATGATATTGGTCACTCAGACTGATTACCCTATTCTTATTACAATGTATTCCCGATGTGACTGTAATACAGGGATCAATGCATAACTGGACAGAAACCAGGCTACGACTAGCGAATACATTTTTATTGCGGTGATTGTTGATCTCTAATTCCTCCGTCTAACCTCTTATACACGTATTGATCTATATAATCCCACTTTTCTCCTCTTCACCTTTTGTTTTTTGACCTGTCATCATGACCTTCCTGCTCTTCCTCCCATGTGTGTGTGTATGTGTGTGTGTGTGTGTGTGTGTGTGTGTGTGTGTGTGTGTGTGTGTGTGTGTGTGTGTGTGTGTGTGTGTGTGTGTGTGTGTGTCTGTGTTGTCGTGTATGTATGTATTTGTCAGGTGGTGGAGAGGAACCAGCTACCACACTCCGGAGTCCCGCCTGGCCCACCACCGACGTCTGGCTCACCTTCGCCATAGTCAACACAGCGGTTACACTGATGGCATTGTCAAACAGGTGAATACAATAAAAAAAAAAGTTAAAATGAAGAATAAAGAAAAAATCTTTTGAGAGTTATGTATTTAGACGAAATATTTACACTCCTATGTATCCATTCTCTTTATTAGGTATCCCCGAAGGGGGACCTTTTTTTTTTTAAGTGAGGTTTCTTGAATTGTTTTATCTTTTTTTCGCTCATTATTCGAGAATGCCTTATTCAATCGGCTTCAAATTATCAACACTTGTGTATGGTAACGAGGACCAAATTCTTGGAACATTTAGCAGTTTCATGTGTCCTGTCACCAAAGTTGTTGAGCCCATTTCCAGCATCCTAGAATGGCTCGGATAACTTCCAAAGCCCTCAGTGGTATAGCCTGAAATGTTCAAATAAATGTGTGTAAAAATTCGACGACGGCAGAGAGTGAAATTCAAATATGTTGGTGCAGATGTGACCATTTAATGTGTAAAATAATTTAAATTTTTATTCCCGTAACATCAAGTTAAACAGTTTTCAGTTTACCTCTTCTGAACGGTTTTAGTATTTAATGGCTGATGCATCTTAGGGCCAGAATAGTACCCATTAGTTTCATTTACGTGCAGGCAAATTCGTTGATATAGTAAATAATAATAACCTTGGAATCGTTGGAATTCATGCTATAACTGATGAATGACTCGTATGATCGGCTTCAAATTTTCAACACTGGTGCGGTTTCCTGAACACAAAACTCACGCTGCATTTGGGGAGCACAAGTCCCAACTCGGATTGTTTTTTAATAAATGGTGATGTTCATTTTGTATTCTATAACTTAAAAACGCTTCTTCTGATTGACTTCAGAACAGTTTTGTTTTGATAATGTTTTTTTATAGTAAGTTTAGTCTAAGTAGGTGCAAATCTGAAGTGTGTGTGTGTGCTAAGGTTTGCAGTTAGGTATATAAATGTATTTTAATAATGCATGCATGTATATGTGGTTTACGTAATTACTTGGGTAGATGCCTGAGGTGAGGTTGTTTACTGAAGAAGGTCGACCTATAAACCTGAATTCTGCCAAGCTCGAGTTCCACTTTACCGAGGATGAGAACAACAACTGCTTCATCCTCGAAGTTCACACCTACAAGTGAGTCATACCTTCTTCACTGTAAACTGTTTAAGGCAACGTTCTTGTCTCAGGGCTAGATGACTGGGGATCGAGCCTTCTCCATGTAACTCCTTTTAATTAATGACCCACACAGGAGTGTACTTAATGACCCACAAGGAAACAGAGCTTCCTGTATTGTACATTACCTTCTTCATTGTTTGCTTCCAGTTTCTTGATTTTGACTGAGCAAATATTTACACATACATGAATTCAGTCCAGTATGCTCTCTGTACTTTCTTTTATATACAAGTAAGGATCAAAATTTGGACATCTTTGCCCCACTTCACATGGCCTGATCAGCTGGAAATTCTAAAAGAATGAAGGAGAGAAAGACTCAAAGATGATTTGAACTAATATATACATGGTAAGCAAAAGTGATCTTTTTTGTGTGTGGTCAGGTACCTGGACTCTTCGTTGGTGAAGTGTGATGTGGAGCCGTGGTACGTGCGGATCACACTGAAGGGCAAGGTGCTACAATTGGTGCTACTGGAAGAAGTGAGACCTGACAGTGCCACAGCCCGCAGGTCACAGATCACGGGTCATCTCCTAATCACCATGCCTAAGGTCAGTCATTAACAAATTAGTTTCTCCAGGGCGCCTACTATTGTTTTTCCTAATGTTGTTTTCCATCCAACGTTTAAGGCTCAAATAATTACATATGCATTAATGAGATTAACAATTCAAGTAGGCAACAGATGCATTTATATATAAAACTGGTCAATTAGCAAGAACTCATTTAAAATTAAGTCCTTTCTAAAATTTTCTCTTATACCTTTAAAGATATATTTTTTCATATATGTTAAAGTAAAAATTAATAATTTTGTACCAAAAGAACCTTAGAAAACTTACCTAGCCTTATTATAACAAGTGCAATTTAATTTAGCCTTATCCAACTAAATATATTTTAGATAAATTTACAATAATTTAATAATAAACAAACACAGTGAAATATAATTTTTCGTTAGGTTCAGAATTATTTTTGCGAAATTATTGCATACACAAATTTTTAGCTTCCCTTATTCGGCAAGAAGAAAGTTGCCATTTAAGCCAAAATTGCAAATTTTACCTATTCGGCACTACATTATATATTTAATAGTTCTTTTTATTTCATCAATAAAAATTGACGGCACACATACTAAACTATGGAAAAAAATAAATGATAGTACAGATTTTTTTTTAACAAGTCGGCCGTCTCCCACTGAGGCAGGGTGACCCAAAAAGAAAGAAAATCCCCCAAAAGAAAATACTTTCATCATCATTCAACACTTTCACCTCACTCACACATAATCACTGTTTTTGCAGAGGTGCCCAGAATACAACAGTTTAGAAGCATATACGTATAAAGATACACAACATATCCCTCCAAACTGCTAATATCCCAAACCCCTCCTTTAGAGTGCAGGCATTGTACTTCCCATTTCCAGGACTCAAGTCCGGCTATATAAAAATAACTGACTGATGTTGTAGTGGCCAGGCTTAGGCTTGGTTACAAGTACTTCTGGCAGTTTGGGAGACACACAGATGATGATCAAACTAAATGTAAATTATGTGATCAGGCATATGGTCACTCTCTTGAACACTATGTGCTTAATTGTCCACTTATTGAGGAATACAGAGACAGACAGTATAATAACCTATGTGACATGTCAAGATATCTTATTAATGAAAATAAGATACCAGATATACTAAGCAAATTTCCTAAATTTGCTTGTAACAGATAAGTGAACTATAGATATGTAGATATAAATCCATATGTATTCCTGTTAACCCTTTGGGGCCTAGTTCCTAGGCCTTTTGTGTATCCATATGCTCTCGCGCTACCGTCCACAGGATGGGTATGGGGTGCACAATAAACTAGCCACTTCGGTGGCAAAATCTAAAAAATCTAAATCTTCACTAAATATTACCCTGCTCACACTCCAACAGCTCGTCAGGTCCCAAATACCATTCGTCTCCATTCACTCCTATCGAACACGCTCACGTACGCCTGCTGGAAGTCCAAGCCCCACCTTACCCCTTCCTTCCAACCTTTTCGAGGACGACCCCTACCCCGCCTTCCTTCCCCTACAGATATATACGCTCTCCATGTCATTCTTTGATCCATTCTCTCTAAATGACCAAACCACCTCAACAACCCCTCTTCAGCCCTATGACTTACAATTTGATATCCAATTTTTCTTTATCTAAATCATTTGATACCCTCATCACCTTACTCTTTTCTATGTTCACTTTCAACTTTCTACCTTTACACACATTCCCAAACTCATCCACTAACCTTTGCAATTTTTCTTTAGAATCTCCCATAAGCACAGTATCATCAGCAAAAAGTAACTGTGTCAATTCCCATTTTGAATTTGATTCCCCATAATTTAATCCCACCCCTCTCCCGAACACCCTAGCATTTACTTATTTTACAACCCCATCTATAAATATATTAAACAACCATGGTGACATTACACATCCCTGTCTAAGACCTACTTTTACCGGGAAGTAGTCTCCCTCTCTTCTACACACCCTAGCCTGAGCCTCACTATCCTCATAAAAACTCTTTACAGCATTTAGTAACTTACCACCTATTCCATATACTTGCAACATCTGCCACATTGCTCCCCTATCCACTCTATCATATGCCTTTTCTAAATCCATAAATGCAATAAAAACTTCCCTACTTTTATCTAAATACTGTTCACATATATGCTTCAATGTAAACACTTGATCTACACATCCCCTACCCACTCTGAAACCTTCTTGCTCATCCGCAATCCTACATTCTGTCTTACCTCTAATTCTTTCAATAATAACCTTACCGTACACTTTTCCTGGTATACTCAATAAACTTATTCCCCTATAATTTTTACAATCTCTTTTGTCTCCCTTCCCTTTATATAAAGGGACTATACATGCTCTTCGCCAATCCCTAGGTACCTCCCCCTCTTTCATACATTTATTAAACAAAAATACCAACCACTCCAACACTATATCCCCCCCTGCTTTTAACATTTCTGTCATGATCCCATCAGTTCCAGCTGCTTTACCCCCTTTCATTCTACGTAATGCCTCACGCACCTCCCTCATACATCCTGTTTTTCTTCACTCCTAAAAGATGGTATACCTCCCTGGCCAGTACATGAAATTACCGCCTCCCATTCTTCGTCGACATTTAAAAGTTCCTCAAAATATTCTCGCCATCTACCCAATACCTCCATCTACCCATGTACTAACTCCCCTACTCTGTTTTTAACTGACAAATCCATTCGTTCCTTAGGCTTTCTTAACTTGTTTAACTCACGTATACAGCCGGCACACTAAGGACGAGTAACTCCTAACTAAATGCTCTTATGATGTATCTTAGCTGGTACCTGCTAAACACTTTGGGAGAAGTTGCTTACCAGAGATCACACCTTTAACGTGCCGCACATCAGACGTTACCAGTTCACCTCACGCCACCATCTCACTTGACTACTTCAAGGAAGGCAATAAGTGAGTACTCTAATACTGTTCCCTACACAATACACAGATCCCGAATCCAGCATCAGTAACGTAGCGAATAACTCATAATTTAATGGAAATTTTAAGTACTACAAAGCTATTTATATATGTACTATTATATTTGTTACTTCTTGCTATGATTATGTGATTTGTAGAAAAAACACCGCAATACCGTAGCTACAGATGTCCCTCTTAACATAATGATAAATGGATCACCTATCACAAAACTAACAGAGGGAAAATTCTTAGGAATCCACCTTGATAATAGACTCAAATTTCATACACATATACATCAAATTTCTAAGAAAATTTCCAAGACTGTAGGCATACTATCGAAGATACGGTACTATGTTCCACAGTCAGCCCTCCTGGCCCTATATCACTCTCTTATTTACCCCTATCTCACCTATGGAATTTGTGCATGGGGCTCAACAACAATTAACCATCTCAGACACTAATTACCCAACAAAAGGCTGCAGTTAGAATGATAACAAATTCTCACTACAGGCAGCACACTCCACCAATATTCAATACACTAAACCTACTCACCATACAAAACATCCATACTTATTACTGCACCTATTACATACATAGAACACTTAACTCTGATATTAACCCTCCCCTCAAACATCTCCTTGCCAACCTCAACAGAACACATGACCATAAACACAAGGCACAGATCACTCTTTGATGTTCCTCGTGTCCATCTCACGCTATGCAAAAACTCAATGCACATAAAAGGCCCTAAAATCTGGAATTCATTACCTGTAAATATAAAAGAAACACAACCTGTTTATAAATTCAAGTCTCTTCTCAAAGATTACTTACTCACCAAAACCAAATAAATACTGAATAACTGAACATTATAAATTGTATATCTTAAATGTTTCTCACAATTATATCACATAAATGTTAAACCTAAAACCCAATCTAACTTTATTATTTTTTAAATACACTACCTAACAGAATCACTACCTAACTGAATGCAACCATATGACCTGTCTTTGTAATACTCACTTGTGCTTTATAGTTATCTGTTTACATTATGTTTTATCACTGATTTCATCATTGCTTAGTAGCAGCGCTGTATAGTCCTTGTGGCTTAGCGCTTCTTTTTGATTATAATAATAATAATAATCATTGCTTAGTTAATCTTAAGTTAATTTTAAGCCAGCCCGTAATGCTATGCATAGTATAAGTGGCTTTGGCATACTGCTCTTATCTGTATTTTTTTGTACCTCTGTATGTGTGCACAAATTGGAAATAAATAAATAAATAAATAAATAAAAAAAGAATAACTAACGCACAAACTGGACATGAATAGGCAGCCAGAGCTATTGACATAAATTTCTGCCATGTTACAGCGAGGTGAAGCACCTGCAGGTGAGCGAGACGAGGCAGGTGGATTATAAGAACATAGTGGATCACTCTACCAGAAGTGGTTCCATCCAGTGCAGCCCCCCAACCAACACTCTCCGTCAAACCCCTCTCCCTGACCGACCAAACTCTCCAGATTTTGTGGACGACTCTGAAGTTCCGTCATTAGAGTAAGACTTCGCCGTTCATAGGTTAACACTTTTACTCTTGAATTTACATGCTATAAGCCGTTATCCTGAGTTCATTTTAAAGCCTAACATTATACAAGACAAATAATCCCGAGGATTCCATCAACAATGGTCGCCTAACACCCAGTTCTAGTCTTAAGACTGTCACCGTTGCTCTAAAAACATGTCGCTTTGTATTATATTTATGGGTCCCTCTTTAATGCTGTATGTTTGTTATCATATTTGTAATGTATGAGTTTCTCACTACTGCTACATGTGTATCATATTTGTAAGAGTATCCCTTACTGCTAAATATATCATAGTTGTAATCTAATAGTATCCTTTGACTAATATAGTTAGCACAGTTATGGTGCAATCTTACAATAAATCTACAGCCTTATACTGGTGATATCAATGTACGCGTCACGCCACCAACTTTTATTGTCTTCCTTACACCTCTGAAATATTTTGACGACCATCTACAGATTGTGTAATAAAGCGATCAAAGTAACCTTATAGATGAATGAACATGTAGTCGTATAGGGGGAACTAGGCGCCAAATTCGGGAAAAATTAAAAACAAAAATTAAATTAAAATTATACTCTATTCTCACCCCCAAAACATATATAACACATACAAACAGAACGAAAACAGATAATTACTACAATAACTTAATCGTCTGTTGACAACGTTGAAAGGGCACAAGATAAATCGTTTCAAAATGTCATATTAAATATAGGGGTCAGGGAAATGTTATTTTTGAAGCCAATTTAGATAATGAAATTTGCTTCTCTAATATGAAACCTGTGGTTGTCTTTTGTTACAAATACTTAATTCTGGGTCGAACACACACGGATTTCATCTTCACCTGAAAGGAGACGATTTCTGTCTTTGCTCTTGATACTTGTTAAATAAGAAAAAGCTTACTTACACATGTAAGAGGTTGAAAACTGCAATGAAGTTGAAAACTTGAGTGAGTCCTTAATATAGGAATCCGTCACGTGCAGCTCCTGTCCACTAACCACTATAGGTGGTTTCACACTGGTGCCGTATAGACGTTGCTGAATATATTTCCAATGATTATTATACTTTTAAATGATACAACAGGTTGAAAACTATTACAATACCAAAGATTTTTAAGAATATGCCGTACGTGTATAGTAAAATTACGATAAGATTAAACACAAAAATGACTAAAAAATTCATTTACATATGATTAGCCTATTTATCACTTTCTCACGGAAACCCTAGCGACCTCTCGCGGAACCCTAGGGTTCCGGGGAACCCCGGTTGAGAAACGCTGCCTAGAGTATGTCTCCAGTACGTGTTTCCTATATGCAGTCCTGCAAACATTTAGGTACGATTCACATGTTTTGCTTCTGGTGTACATCAAGAGAATGAAGGGCTTATTAAACACCAGGTTAAAAATGGAAAGTTTTTATTTGTAGAAGTTCGAATACAGATACTGAACTTATCTGGAAGACCAGGACGCAAACAATAGATGTAACAAAACTATCAAACAACAACAAAACACAAAATTACGGTAAAAGTGTTTATATCAACTTATAAACATTAGTTACTAAATAGAAAAAAAAGACTAGATGCACTATATATTTTGTGCAAATCTTCCCTTTAAGAGCCTTATAAATATTTTGATCTAATTTTTAGTTTCAAAATAACAGATATTACCTTTGCTACACTATTAACCTCGAAGATCTGGAGAAGGTACGTCTCCTGCTTGCATACTTCTGGCTGGGAACCGTAAGGAAGAATGCATACATTAATGCTAACACTAAAAATGTATCCATTTATCTCTCTCTCTCTCTCTCTCTCTCTCTCTCTCTCTGCTTCTCTCTCACTTTATACACACACATTATATATATATATATATATATATAATATATATATATATATATATATATATAATGTATGTATGTGTGTGTGTGTTTTGTGTAATACTGCAATATGACGAAGGCAAATACCAGAGTAGCTAAATACTGGCTTTATTTGTAGGATTAACGTACCGCTATTGGTCCATTAAATCATCAGAATTTGTCGAAGTTAAAATCTTGCAAAATTCGTACAAATGTTAATTAAAATGTCTAATACACAGGTACAATCAAATGTTAAAATACCTTTTGCCACAAAATTATCAGTGACAGTAGTTAACTACGTAAGTTTAATGGTTCGTGTATTGTTGGTAGTATCCTAGGGAAGAGTACCCTAAGACCCCAGTAGAAATGAGCCACAGTGATTGGCTTTACTGGTTCTTACTTTAGGGTTAGTAACCAGAAGAAAGTTTTCTTACGTTTCTTCCTTGCCTTCTCCACCTCTTGATGTTACAGCGTCAGTGGTGGCCGTAGCCTCCATTGTGCGAGCCGTAGCCTTTAGGACACACCGTCTCATAAGTCTTACGTGTCCTGGTGGCATAAACAGTGACGTAAGACTTCTCCGTTACCGTGATGTACTTAGGGTGGGTGTTTATGACCGTGTGGGTGATGTACTGAGGCAAAGTGGCCTTCTTCGTCACGAACTGAGGAACCTGGTGAAGGAACAAGGGCTAGTTCACAGTGACGGGGATGGGGGAGGGCGAGAGAATAAGGAGGAATATTGGGATGTGTAGAAAAAATTTTGATAGATTGAGGGAGGAATTACTGGCGCAGAATGAGTGTGGGATACTGGTCAGGGAAGGATTACGTGAAGATTTTGCAGCCGTAGAGTTTATTGTGCACCCCTTATCCATCCTGTTGAGGGTAGCGCAAAGAGTATATGGATTCAAAATGCCTTGAAACTAATGTTAATAGAGGCACATCTTATATATTCTACAATTAATTTTTTATTGTTTTGTTTTGAGGTATGGGTCTGAGCTTAAGTCACCTGTTGCGTCTGCGTGATGAAGTAGGGGACTGATTGCTTGTTGAGGACGGTGGTGGTAAGGTAGACAGGCTCGTAGGTGTTTTCTACGGACTTCCTGAGGGTGGGAGAACATAGGAGTATCGAATGTTTTTCATAAACAGGCATTACAGTGTAGATCAACATGCATGTCATACAAAGTTATAGTGGAATTAATAAAAAAAAGACTAGTAGAACACTATAATAAAAAGACAGATTCTCACAGAAAAGAAGCATTGATTTAGAAGCAGAAAATCCCGCATAATAGTTTTATAAATGGCTACTAAAGTTAAGACAGGATATAGAGAAGTGATTATACCTGAATATTATTGGGCTGGCAGGACCCATTTGACGCATAGAGAAACAGGCTAGGGTGAAAAGAAATAAATTTCCACGACCTTTTTCCAGTAAGAGGTTTAGTACGAAGATATTTCTAGTCAGGTGAGTAGTGGGGTTTTCCTGAGGAAGAACCCTACCCTCCATGCTGTCGTAGAGAGTGGGATTAGACTAGCAGATTTGCCAGATGCATAGACTCATCTTAAGAAGTTTTGAATGACAACTGCAAGGCTATTCTTAAGCCGGTGAAAATATGGGATTGACCCCTTTCATTTGTCATCATAATCCTTTCGAGAATTTTAAGTCGCCTACAGTATATCATTGCTTACAGACTACTGTAGTCTCGGTAAACTTTCTAAAAATATTGATCATTGGTGTTCAGGCTTTGATTTCAGGAAACAATGAGAAAACATGACCTGACTAGTTTCCACTTTCTGTGCTAGAATATAGACAACAGTAAAACCTTCACTATATTGAATCCACTACGAGAATTCTGGCAGAACTCACTTGATGAGTAAGATTAGAACTGATAGTATTTTTTATCCTTAATGATTATTCTCTCTCCTCTATCAGTATATCACCCTTGTGGGTTTAGCGCTTAGTTATGATTATAATAATCTCTCATGTAGGATGTCATTTGATCTTTGAAGTTCACGGTCTCATATTCTAAGCTAAAACTTTTTATTGCTAATAGCTTAATAGTTTATTTAGACTACTTAATTGCCATGTATATAGAACCCAGGTTTACACCTGGTCAGAGGTGCGTATTGCATTATCAGAGATGCACGCTACCTTGTTAGAAATAAATACTGACAAGCCAGAAATGAACATTGGATGACTAGAGATGCACATTGCATTAGATAAGATGCAAATTGTGTCACGTGTTATTTAATTATTTTCCTGATTAGCTCAGTTTTCAACGTTGTTTCAAAATTGCATGAAACAGCAGGGGCCTAATGTAATATTTACAAGTTCCTTTTAATGAATATCTAAAATGTCCACATAAATAAATATTGTAGTATCGGTTTTTGTGTGTCTATACCTGCATGTCTGCCTGTCAGTCACTCACCCTCCATGGTAGTAAGGTACGGGCCTGTACACGGTCTTGTCAAGGTAGACAGTTTTGTAGCCACAATGGTCATCACTGGTGTAAGCAAGGTGTGAGATCAGCGCTGCCAGCATCACCATCACTCTGCCACAGCATCTCAGCATTGCCACCATATTTAATCTTCTGAAAAAAAAAAACATTACATTTCACTGTGTTTTTAAAGGGAAGAAGATAAGTTTCATGTGAATATAACCTATTAACTGGATCATCTGTTACTAAATCAGAAACAGCTGTCAAACTTAAAACAGAAGATGTATATTTGTTATAAAATAACCATAACGCCATACTGAAGTAACAACAACAAAAGTACTAACAGCAGCAAAAGTAGCGATCAATTGGGGTTAGTTTACTATAGACTCTAGCAAAACACACGTCTTGTACTGGTTTGCAGTTCTCGTGGTAAAATATTAAGTCTAGGAGAATTTGTCCCTGATCCTTCAGCCATTCAATCCATGTACTGGAGGTTACGTAACGGCCCTGAATGCCCTGGTAAGTGTCATCACAGGCCAAGATCTCTGGGTACATCCTAAAAAATATATATTAGCAATAAAGCAGAATACAAGGTTCTCTCCCATAGAATGGCTTTCCGTCTGTAAAGTGTTCGAGACAACTTACTCGTAGGTCTGGAGTCACTATCTCATATCGAGGATATCTCCTCCATTTCGACGGATATTTAGGATTACTGATGTTAGTAATAAAAAAAAACTAAACTATTGTTCAACCAGTTCAAGCGTTCTACCACTTGTTGGCGGCTATGTACTGGAACACTTGTACAATATGGCTATGTAAAATGCCCTCAGTATTTTTTAATAGCCTGTTACATGTGTTTTAGTTCATAGCCAGTCGAGTGTGTGATAGCATAAAAGTCTGTAAAAAATCAGGGAGCTTATTATCACAAAACTTTTAATAAATCAAGAAATCAGACTTTTTTTTTTTTTTGCTTTGTACGGACGACAGATGTAACACTAGTGGCAGAAATGGGCTTTCCATATCTCTAGGTAAATAAGAATCAAATCTTAATTTTTAACTTTACCATAATGATACATGTGCCCTCTTTTAAGAACTATGTAATGATACCTCAGTAAGGAATCGTTCAGGCCCATACTGGAGTATGCAGCACCAGTTTACAACCCACACTTGGTCAAGCACGTCAAGAAATTAGAGCAAGCTCAAAGGTTTGCAACAAGGCTAGTTAGTTCCAGAGCTAAGGGGAATGTCTACGAAGAAAGGTTAAGGAAATCGGCCTGACGACACTGGAGGACCGGAGGGATAGGGGGAACATAACAAAATTCAGAGAGGAATTGACAAGGTGGACAGAGACAGGATGCTCCAGAGATGGGACACAGCAACATGGGGTCACAATTGGAAGATAAAGACTCAGAGTCACAGAGATGTTAGGAAGTATTTCTTCAGTCATAGAGTAGGCAGGAAGTGAAACAATCTGGAAAGTGATGTAGTGGAGGCAGGAACCATATATAGCTTTAAGAGAAGGTATGATAAGGCTCATGGAGCAGGGAGAAAGTGGGCCTATGACTCGATCCCTGCAACCACAGTTAGGTAAGTATAAACACACACACACACTTTCCCTATCGTAACATGCTTGCTGACGCTGCAGATATTTCACGCAGCTCGTCATGAACATTGGTGATCATAATAGATAGTAACTCAACTTGAGCCAGGATTTTTCAGTCCCCCTTTATTTATGTTTCTAAAGTCATTATCTGCTAGGTAAATTCCCGGAAAATATATATAATAAAAGAAAACATTTATACACTAAAAACGATGCATAAAATAAAATAATTACAGAGACAGAAGTACATCAAGAAAACTTTCTCCAAGGTGAGAGCTGACGGAGTCCACCAGCACCTGAAGAGCTTTTGTTACTTCTCTTAAGTCCACTCATTGTTTGTCTCGCCCCGTTTGTACTGTTTTGCAGGTATAAATCTTTTTGCCAGAGACGGCTGGTCAGTTTATATATATATATATATATATATATATATATATATATAATATATATATATATATATATAATATATATATATATATATATATATATATATATATATATATATATATAATATATATATATATAACTGACCAGCCGTCTCTGGCAAAAAGATTTATGCTTGCACATACAAGGATTGACTTACTAGAAGGTGGAGAATATACCACTAGAAATCTCCTGATTCTACCCAAGTTGGAGATTGTCTGAGGGGTGCCTGATAAGAGACAAATATCCACTGTGCTTTGGGAAGCATCTTGGTGAAATCCAGGCTAGTATTTTGAAGACACGTGGGGTTCCGAGCTGTAGCTCCCAAGGCCTTGTTATCACCACGATGTCTAATCCAGACGAATTCTCTGACGTTGGTACGTCCTAGATAAAGTCTCGCTCGTGAGGTGCTAGGTGTCGCAATTTATCTAGTCTCCTTACTTGATACAACCTAATGCTTATTTATAATGAATCCGGTCGGTGGAATTTTTTTTGGACTAAATAAATTTCCACACTCCTTTCTCCCGTACTCAAATATACCACTGTACAAGGAGTTAATAATAAATCTTTATTTAAGTGAAATAGTATATTCACTGTCCCCGTTATCCTTAATTATCTACCTGTTTTTATTAATTTTATTTTATTAATTATTTTATTTAATATAGGGATGAGAGATTGTGAAGGGTTACTGAGAGGTGGTGGTGACCAACCAGTGACCTCACATTACCTTCCCTTCCCACCCACTCCTGCCTTAGTCCGTGTACTCCCTCCCCAATGTAAAATCTAATCCTCAGTTCATTACCTTTGTAACTAGTTCAGCTCTCATAACTTTGGGGTCCAGTCCCTGGACCCATTATGTACCCATTATGTACAGGATGGGTATGGTGTGACTACCGCCCACAGGATGGGTATGGGGTCCATAATAAACATATTAAAACTAACCCCTACTTCCTCACCTCCCCTCCTCACTACCCTGGTACTTATCTTACTTCTCGTACTACTTCCTCATTCTCCTTATTCCCATTATTATTACTGTCTTCTAGTCTCCTTATATGGCACTAGGATTACGAAACATTGCAACGGTCTTGGAACAGAGTAGGTAAATAAGTAGGTAAATATGTAGGTATCTTTGCAGAAAACACTTTCTGGAACATTCTCGGACGTACAGACAAACACATCTTATTCGTTTCATATTTAAAGTTACATAAAGCCTGAGTATGTGGGTGTATTTACTACTTAGGCAAAATGATTCCATACATCACTATATTATGTGAAAATTTGTGTGGACTGCCTCCAAGTGAGTCGCCTACCCTGGCAAACTCTGTTGACACCGAGCTCTGAAGTCGGTACCTCAGCCTCACAAGTGGCTTATAGGACAGATTTTCACAAATGATTGATGTTGCAAGAAACTCGCCTGCATGCACGTAAAAAGGACTAACTTACTTGGTGTTGCAGCATATATCCTGATCTTCAACCTTCCTAAGCTTAGCCCCTTTGGACTTCCCCTCAGAAACCACGTGCAACATCAATCATTTGTGAAAATCTGTCCTATAAGCCACTTGTGAGGCTCAGGTACCAACCTCAGAGCTCGGTGTCAACAGAGCTTGCCAGGGTAGGCGACTCACGTGGAGGCAGTCCAGACAAATTTTCACATATTAGTTGATGTCTATTAAAATGCAGTTTTGGGCTGACTACTACCGTTATTCCTTATTATTCTGTCACTAGCTTTCTGTAAACTTCCGAGATTCTTCCCTTCCCTTAACATCCCCGTAAGGGAAGATAGGGGACGGGTGGAAATGGTTGAGGAGTGGACGGCACCCACACTAGACTAACATGGTCTGACGCTTTACACTTCTGGCGCACAATAAAGATGTTAAACTTGCCTTAGAGAATTTTTCCCCGTAATATCTGTTAAGGGGCCCAGTCCCTGGACCCATTATGTAACTGTAATCTTTTGACTACCGCCCACAGGATGGGTATGAGGTGCATAATAAAGATATTAAACTAAACTATCTGTTGTTAGCCTTGCAACATTGCATAGCTCCTGACGACTCAGAGTGCAAAAGATCTTGAGCTAAAGACTTCAATCCCCATGTGGCTTGTCCTACATTGTTAAGATCATCTGTTTGCGTATATAAACATTCTTTCAGTTCACAGGTTTCTTTTTGTTTCTAATATCCCCTTCCCAAGTTATTTACACTTTTACTCTCCATCGTGACAGGGGCCAAATTCTTGGAAAATAGGCATGTTCACATGCCCTATGACCAAGGCTGTTGAGCCCATTCCCTTCTGGAATTGCTCGAATAGCCTTTAAATTCCTAAGTGGCGTGGTTTTAAACGTTCTAAAAAGGTGCTAAAAAATCGACAGCAGCAGAGAGTAAAATTTAAACGCATATCTGCTTTTATGTTTGCTGATTTAGTGTTCACTACGTATGTTATTGTGTTTACTCGTGCTTCTTGAGGCAAGGTAGGAGTGACATGTACTTCCATTTTTTTCTTGTTTCCTATTTGCCAGATATGCACAGGTCTGGTGGTCAAGACCATATTGACGGATCATCATCACTAAGCAGAACAGACCTGGAGACTAACTGGACAGCAGAGGAAAGTGTTTACTACGGAAGCAGTAAAGCACATTTACTAGTTGAAAGAGTACTGAACACACTATATAACATCCTGGGCCGAAGTCTGGGTAACTCCTTACTCGACGGTAGCACGTTCAGGTCACAACCGAAATAATTTTGATGCCCCTGTTCATATAGACGTAAACACTTACCTGGGAGTTTTCCGACTGTTGTGAGACGGTAGCTGTTGCATATTAGGGAAGATGACATGAAGACCCGAACGGAAATACGTCGCACCGCTTATTATTCATGGGTTATCCACGGTTAATTAATGTACCCTTGAGAGCTAATAATCGGAAGAAACTTTCCGGCTTCCTCAACACAGTACTGGGCTAAGAGTACAAAACATTCAGTACGAGGGATGGGGAGGCGGGGAGGAAAGCAAAGGGTGTCCATTAAAGACGAAGATTAATACAAAGTGAAAATCAGTGATACATACCAGCACAATGTAGCAGCGATATGTGGAGCGGGAAGAGCAAGTGTGCGAGTGAGAACAACAGCTGTGCCACTACCGACCAACCCACTACCACTGCAGCGAGAAATTTCAACGTGGTGTGCGAGCCGCCCTCTTGTTTGTTCACAACCACTCCCCCATGCTCATCCCCTGAACCTACATTACTGAACCATGCATAAGTTTGGAAAAGCGAAACTTGATTTCATCTTTCCAGTCACGAAGGAAACCATCAATGACGCGAAGGCTTTCTGCCTTAGTGGTCGAAATTAGGTAAAAGTGACGTTTTATGTTACATTTTTGGTTATTTATAAAATAATAGGATAATCCTTTCTAACCTCACAGAATTTTCATTCAAATTTATTTATAAAAATTCACGTATGTGATAAAAGATCAGGTGAAAAACCTAGTATTATGTAAGTGGAATGACTTAATACGAATCAGAGCTCACCCTGGTGATTATTACCAGGTTTTCTAATAAGTTCATGAAGAGGGTGTATAAATCCAAGGAGGACGGAAGGAGTGGTAGGTGTAGCCACGGACAGAGTTATAAAGGGAAATGAAATAGATTTTGCGAGGAAGGGGATGGAGCAATAATTTTGGTATAGTCTCATCACTACCTTAAATGCATTTTGTCAAATGTAAATCTTGCTCTAGTGACTGGACGGCAGAGGTTTTATGATGCCCATGTTTACCTTACTTACTTAGGCAGTATTATTTGCGATGCCCACTGTTTACCTAGCTTGTCCATGTAATATTACTTAAAGTTATAATACAAACAACTGCAGATGTCAGAAGAGAAACTGCTTCGTGAAAGGTGTGTCCGACACACATGGTGGAGATGCAATGTTGGCTAAATACTTAGAAAGAGTAATGGTCCGGTTTTGGCCAGTTATTGTTCAATATTGCTCCAGCAAGTTTGTATGTGTGATTTCATGCTCATAGTTGCATTAGTTGAGCTATGCTTGTGGTGTCACGTCTACATTATTTGGTCACATTAATTGTTCAGGTTTCAGAAGTTATGGCGCACTTTAAACGAACGGATCCCACTACCGTTATTTACCTGTCTTAAAATGTCTAAGGTTTTCTGTCCAGCTTTTCTCACTGTTTGAACTTTTAGTTTTGTTTCCTCTCCTGTATCTATCAATAATTCAGTCTAGTATATTTTTCCAATATTCTTAATTTATTATTTTGGTATTTTACTTCGCTCCTGTCCGTCTTTTTTTTTTTATTTAATCCATTTTCTTAAAATACAGTATTTGTTTTCTGGCATATATATATATATATATATATATATATATTATATATATATATATATATATATATATAATATATATATATATATATATATATATATATAATATAATGTGCTAAATAGGCAAAATTCGTCAAATTTTTTTTTATTCGCCGGTACTCTCCCGGCCCGGTCTTTTCTAAGAGTGGTGACCCGGCCTTGGCCTCCCTATGGGAGGAGTACAAGTACCCCCTCATCTTGGGACCAAGTGTTCCCAGCCTAGCCACAGTCCCCGCCCTCACGGGGCTCGTAGGGAGAAACTAGGCCTCTGGTCTGCCATCTGCCCCCGCCCCAATGAGGCTCCTGGGATGGCAGCTTGTGAGCTGCAGGTGGTAGCAAGTTCAGGCCTCAACTTTATTCGTCAATTAGCAAGAACTCATTTAATATTAAGTCCTTTCTAAAAAAAAATTCTTATACGCTTAAAGATATATTTTTCTCATTTATGTTAATGTAAAAATTAATAATTTTGTACAAAAAGAACCTTTGAAAACTTACCTAACCTTATTATAACAAGCGCAATTTAATTTAGCCTAATCCAACTAAATGTTTTTGATAGGTTTACAATAATTTATTAATAAACAAACACAATGAAATATTTTTTCGTTGGGCTCAGAATGATTTTTGCAAAATTATTGCATACATAAATTTCCGCTGGCCTTATTCGGCAAGAAGAGCGTTGCCATTTAAGCCAAAATCGCAAGTTTTACCTATTCGCCACGACTTATATATTATTTGTTAATATCGTAGTAAATGTATGTTGATGTCATTTGTGGTATAGTGATGGAGATAAAAGAGAAATAATGCTAACTTGGACCAATGTTGTAGAGAAAGTTAGGCCAATTAGCGGAGGGTACACAAGGATAATTTTAAACGACAGATGTTATAAACAAGACAGCGTTACTCTTGAAGTAGTGGGGACAAGTGTTGGAGAAAATGGTGACAAAGCGGTTTAGTTCAGCGTTGGAGTGTAACGTACTGGCATTATGGTGGTGAGAAAG